GAGGAGGAAGAAGACGGCTATCAAGTTGGAGATCGGGATCCTGAGAGCTCTCGTTCACCGATTGGAGAAGTTTTTATCTTTTTCTTTCTTGAACTGATGTCATTGAACAGAATGATGGATTTTGTTATTTTCATTATGAACTAATTCTCTTTTCTAGGGCTACAGATGTAGCCCAATTTATGAACATGTGTTGACAGTATTATATTGATTTTATATTGAGCATGATTTCTAAGTTTTATTATCGTGTGTAATGCTTTCAAGTCTCAAGGGCCCGAGAGTTGAATGATATCATGGGTTGGGTTGAGATCTAGAGATGAAACCTGATTTGTCTTAGGTAATAAAATCATAGATTGAGCGAACGTTAGAGATAGGTTACCGCGATCTGTGAGGCTCCGGTAGATTCTATAGAACTTAACGATCTTTTAGCACCTAAATCCAACTTAAAGATATCTTGGGTTGTTGCTTTAAGGTTAATTTGCTAATTACTCGAGAGAGAGAGTTAGTGGAATATTATGGGATTTGACCTTTAGAATGTGCTTGATTAGGTTAGCAATAATTGTCAATGCATAGGATTAAATTGGTGTGAAATCTGTGCCCCAAGTTTAGTCATATTGATCTTTACATCAAAGCTTTAACAAATTCTTCATTTATTTAGTTTTTAGTTTGTTACGTTGTCATTAAAGCTTCTCTTAAAATTCTGTTTTATCAAATAGTAATAGGATATAATAGTTTGGTATTTGGTAGGTAGTTCCCTTGGGATTTGACACTCGTTTACTCGAGCTTTATTACTTGCACGATTTTATATACTTGCGAATAGCCTGTCATGCTGCATATGCCTTTGCGATCATGTCGCTTCTTTCTTGGTTCCCCTTGATTGTTCTCTTAGGCAGGAGTGGAATCATCAATATATTCTTTGAAATGCCTCTTCTTGATGAGGTCTTTGATTGCCTGTTTGAGAGCTCGACACTCATCGGTGTGATGCCCATTATCCCAATGAATGCGACAGTACTTTTTACTATTTCTGGCTGACAGAGGATTTTTCATGGGCTCAGGCTCTTTGAGCAGGCTGGCTTCTTCTGATTTGTCAAGAATAGTCGATACCGATGCATTCAAAGGTGTATACTGATTTCTGTAGCGATCGCGACGAAGAACAAGAGCATAAGACTTTTTGGGCTCATAGCGCGGTTTCTTTCCTTTTCGTTGATAGTCAGTAGCCCATCTGCGATCAACTCTCCTATTTTCCCCCTGACCAGACGCACTGCCTAAAGCGTCGAGGTTGCGGCGGTGGAGCGCCGCCACCGAATTTTCAATTCAGAGGTACTTCTCCGCGAGGTTATAGAAGCAGGTGAGGGAAACATCATCTTCAGCCTATAACTCTTTCCACAGGTCGATCTGTGGATGAACTCCTGCTATGATGAGGGTCCAAACAGACTCTTCGAGAGTGTGAGCTACTTTGTTAAGTTCTCTGTGAAATCGGTCGATGTAAGACTAGAGGGATTCATCCCTTTCTTGCCTTATATTGCTGAGGTAGCTCAAATGCATTGAGAACTTTCGGTTCGCTTGGAACTGTCTTAGGAACGTCACACTCATTTGAGGCCACGAGCTGATCGATCCTACTGGGAGTGACCTGAACCATCGTTTGGCATGAGAGGTTAGGGTTACTGCCAAACAACGGCACTTCGCTAGATCTAAGACCTGGTGAAGCTCCATCAAGTCATTGAATTCATATAAATGATCCTGCAGATCAGAATTTTCGTCGAACGCCCGCATGTCGGGCATTCTAAATCTTGATGGGAGCGGGGCGGCTAACACTTCTGGAGAGAAGGGGGACTCAGATGCGACCTGGCCTTGCTCATTTTGCTGGGCTCTAAGTCGGTCTAGAGCTCGCTGTAGCTCTTCAATCTAAGGCAGTAGAGCCATTTGGGGATTGCTTTCACCCATGCGAGTTCGACCTTTGCGATTGCAATTGAGAAAAGTCCGGAGGTCAGATTCCTCTCCGTCTCGACCGACAGTTACGGTCGCTCTCAACACACGCTGGCTAGAGCCGTGTGATGGCGACAAATGGTGCGGGGAATTTTCACGACCTTCGCGGTGCTACGAACCGCCCCGCGAAGTATGGGAACCTCCTGCACGATGATGATCATGATCGTTTTGCTGGCGGTGATAAGAATCGCCCCGCCAAGCACTTTTATGGGGGTGTATATGCGACGTGGCATGGGACGGCTTGGCCTGCGTCCTTTCACCGAGTCTTAACACCACCGGTATTCTATTCGGGACATGGTCGGTGTTTGCCGGCTTTTTGAAGCCCTTAGGCCCGTTTTTTGCCACTTGCTTACCCTTTTTTCGACGTGCTGCAGTGCTCGCGGCACGGGCTATCTCCTTTTTCCGCGCTTTCGCACGACCTGCATGCGTTTTTGGCGGTTGCACTGCCTCAACTGATTTGGGTGGCACGCCTTGGTCCAAACGGTTTAACCTTCGGTTGATCGTCTGAAGGGTATTGTTGAACCTTTCCAAGTAGCTCATAATGGCAGGGTCAAGTTGTGAACTTGATGGGATATCCCCCGCGACATTTTGCAGAACCGAAGGTATCTCGGAAGAGGTGTCCTCCTGGACTTGGGATATCCCCTCAGCACCCTGGTTGGTTCACTCAAGCTCAGGTTAGCGGGCCATTTGCTGTTGTAGGACCAGTTTGTTAGAGATTCTCCTGATGAAGGATGAATACTTAATCAAGGCCCTCCTTCTAGCGCCAAACTGTTGATGCGTGATTTTGACACCAACTAAACGCACGTGTGAAATGCTGAGCAGGCCCAGAAGACACACGTGAATGTGAAAATAAGAGTAACTGCGATGAAAACAGCGTTTAAAGTGGTTCGGATGCTAAGTAAACGAATCCTATGTCCACTGATTTTTGTATTAATGATAGAGGTCAGGTTGCGTTAGCGGACTGACTTACAAATGATTGTACAAGAGAGAGAATGCTATATATTTTTTTAGAGAGAGTAGCCAATCCCGCAAATGAGAGAAGAGTTCTCATTTTATAGCGGGATGGAATAAGGTTATTATTACTAAATCTGTAAGTTGGTGGGATTATCCGTGCAAATCCTTCTTTATGTCACATTGCCCACCTTCTAGAGTGATTTACGCGATTTGGTGCAGGGATTGGACACGTGGAATCACTACTGCTTCTGGCAGGTTTGGCGCACACCCACTTTACTGACAGGAGTGTGCTGCTCCTATCACCACGCGACGTGGCTGCTTCTAACTGGCTGTTGGCCTACCTAAGCTCTGACTTTTTTATGCTGGCTGAGCCTTGCGTCAGCCCTATATTTTCAAGCATAATAGAACCTTTTGAGTAAAACATTCAAGAGTTTCTATCGGACCACTCGACCATCTAAATGTAGTTAAAGTTTGGAAAGTTAATTGCTCTTTACAAAGATTCGTACTTTGAGATAAGACTATTTGTATACTCAAACTCAATTGTGTACAATGTACATGCATTCATTGGCTCCATGGTATATTACACAAATGGACCTACTTCAAATGGAATCCTTGCCAATGAGCAATTAACCTTCCAAACATCATATGACTGGTATAACTGGTATAGATGAGGTACCTAAACTGGTGCATTTTCATGTCATTGCATGAAGAATAACACTATATTCATAAACACTTCTCACTAACTTTCTTTCACAAACGTCACCTGTTAGCTCACAATTTGTCAGTTCACATATGTCCTGTCTGTCCAATAATAGGTTACACCTGACCAAACCAATCACAAACTCCCACATGGGGTTAGTGAGAAGAGTTTGTTAGGTTAGTATTATTGTTGCATGAAATGCTAGCATATCGGTATGCTCGATTAGGATAAAATATTAGCACGAGCATTATGAGTATTTGAAAAGCTATGATTCCGTTTTTCACTACTCTTAATAACACCGTTGAATGCACTCCAATTGCTTGCAGAATTGTGAAATGCGGAATCATGTGAAAAAGTTTGACTACTTGTAACCTTTTAGCTTTCATGGATGTTGCAACCGGGGTGGTGGTTGCACGGCTGGTGCTTAAAAGTGAAAAGAACTCTTGAGTTGCCATGAAGCTTCATGTCTGGCTCTCTTTCCTTCTACTTACGAAGCATTTATATATATAATAACGATCTTTTACAAGCCTACAGCCCAAGAAAGCTATAACATAACAAGAATTTATATAAATTATGTTATATCTTTCTTGGGCAGTAAGGTTTTAGAAAATCGTAACTATATATAAAATGCTTTGATGAGACTTTAAAAATCATGAGATACAATGAAATTAATCTAACACACACACACAAGGGATGATATATGTTTTAATTTTACAAAAATATTAGATAACATAAATGCAATGACATAAGAAAAATAGGGAAGAGGGAAAGAAACCTAACCCGATTGTGTGTTTTTATATACAAGCATGACCAACTTGACTTAAAAAAATCAAACACTTTCTGAAAAAATGATACAAGTAAAATTCTTTTAGTCCTTGCCCGAACAAACACAGAAGGCAAATAGATTGTGGAAAGATAGCTACTTAAATCAAGAAATTGTGGACAAGTCACGCCTAACTTCACTAAAAGAAGAACCAGCCTTCAAACCAAAAAATCAAATGCATTTCAACTCTGTAGTTCAATTGATTGTAGCTGGCAAGTAAATTTCCACCTATTATTTACATTCCCATTATGCAATCCAGCACCACACACCAAACAGTATTTTGCAGTCTGGCGATCACAACTAGCAGTTCCACACTGGATATTGATTAACTTGGATCGAGTAGGGAAGAGCTAAAATTTTCTATGCAACAAGCAAAACACTATCGTGGGATGAGGAATTCCTGGCATGTCAAAATTGGAAAACCCGCATCCAGCCCATGTAAAGGAAAGCTATCTGCCTTCAGACAGCAGGTCCCATGGGGAAACAACAGTGTAGCCAAAAGCTGCAACAGCATGGAATTATATGATTGATCACTACAGCAAGTGAAGGAAGCCAAACAAACATCGGATTGTCATCTTGCAGACACCAACTGGGAACTTGGAGGGTTTACAGAATTGGTCAATTTTAATATTGTGTTATTTGATTGTTGGAGACAACGGCATTCTGGCAAAGGAAATGTGTAAATGGAAGTTTTTCTATTGATTTTACGAACTCTGGGTACCATAATTCCCTTGCGATCGTTTTCAGAGAGCATTATTCCCATCTCTTCCTTGAAAGTCATCCAGCTGCAAAACCAATTCAAAGATTGTTGATGATAAGCATTTTATAGCATTTTACACAATCATTTTATGATTTCTGAACACTTACGAATAGACTTGACATTCACCTAACAAGCAATTTTCTCTCAGTTATGTAACAGTTTATTTTTTTATCCAACATCAGTTTAAAGCCTTCTATAATTTATAGATTTAACTATATTTTTTTTCAAGTGGAATTGTAATTTTTAACGTTCTTGTGGTGCAAGCAAGCAGTCATGGAAAATCACAGAGTCCAACATCAGTTTAAAGCCTTCTATAATTTATAGATTTAACTATATTTTTTTCAAGTGGAATTGTAATTTTTAACGTTCTTGTGGTGCAAGCAAGCAGACATGGAAAATCACAGAGTCCAGCTTCAGGAAAATCACTCCAACCCAAAGAAGGAACTCGTTAACTTTCACAAGTGGCGGCCAAGACCAGAAATTTCTCCATCTTCACCACTCCTCTATTCAACTAATGTCTGTTATAATATTATCAACCGCCAATAACTAGGGTTGAGGTTGATACTTCAAGACCATTACACTATCATCCTTGGACAAGTTCTAATTAGCATAGTCATTGTAATCGAGTGATGACAGATAATGCAGCAAGTGAGAGGTATAAGTAAAAATACCTGATGTTCATGTTCTGGAGTAGAAGAACAAGCTTTTGTTTATCAGGATTAATGGTCTTTGCATGTCCATCAAAAAGGAATCTCCTATGGCCCATTAGAAAATGGGGAAAATTTCCACCCTGAGTTGTCACAAAAACTTCACTAAACAAACATACCGTGTAGTCCAACGCAGCCAGCCGCGAAGAATACTCCTAAAAGCATAGAAAACACATTTAAGCAAATGTAGAGTCAGCGAGTTACTAATTTGACATACTTGTGTCAGCTAATTATAATTCGTCTTAACATTTACTTGATCTATCACTCAGTAAACTAACTTTAAAAGGAAGACATACAACAATTGGACAAAATTACCACTCTGGTAGATCTGATCATTTGTTTGATATTCTTTTAGGCGTTACATCTCTTTGCCATAATATATATTATAACTAGCAAAATTAATTTTGATTAATCTGAAAATCTAACAGAAATCCAATTGATGCATTTTTATTTGAACCCCAGTCCAGTCTATATGGCAATGATTGAACTACTTGCCGACTGAATTCAAAAGTTGTCCACTATAATATTACATGGAATATTTCCCCACAAGTTAAAAAAACGAATACAAGTAGAGATGTCAAATAGGTCAAATCGGTTGATATGGTAGGAAATTATATAGCTTAATACGACATGTATCAAATAATTTAGTTTTTATAATAATATAATACTGACACAAAGTATGCACGGCATAATTTAATACTTCCATTAATATTAAAATAGATATAAAAAATGACCCGTTTAACATCTCTAAATTCAAGTATACTCCAGATGTGAAGGGGCTAAGGGCATGCCAGATAACAGTAACCATCTCATGCTTAAATTATACTTCGTTAACCACATATTACAAGAGAATTTGCAAATATTTACCTTAAAAGGAGCAAGTTCATCCGGGGTTGCAAGAGATTCTTTTGTATAAAGAAGGGGAAACATCTTTAGTAAGGGAGCCAAATGTCTTTCTGCCTGGTAAATTCTCCCCGAGGCTAAATAAATCGAAGTGTTGTTATTAAATCCCATACCACGTAGTATCATCCCAACCTATGCTACAGGAAAATCATCATGCAACAGACGTTAAAAATATACTACGATGTATTAAATGATATAGAATGTATATACAAAATCAAGATTTTCAGAATTTAACATGAGATATTCCAAAATCTAGATTGAAATTAAACATGAAATATCATAATCAATATATTATTTTAGATGGGCAATGATAGACAAGGATTTGGATCATATGTGTAGAATCCAAGCAAAAACAATATAAAAAGAACAAAATTAAAATATTGAGGAAAAGCCATATCACTCATAAAGATCCAAACTCTAATGGCTAGGGGAATTTTTTGCTGCTAGTGCGCTCTATACATGGACATTCTTCCTTGTAAATAAGAGTCAGGCCTTTAAATCTGATCAAAACCAGAAACCAAGTTTTGTTTACCATTCTTCTCATCCTTGTGACACCTCAAACCAAATGACTATAAAGATCAGAAGATTCACAAAGGACGAGGTTAAGGACACAAGAATCTTGTGATGATGGTGCAAGCATGATAGCATATCTTAAAGACATATAAGGTCATTAAAATTAAACAATTAGATGACGGTCATCTTGAGACTCTAAAGGTTCAAAAAATGAGCAGAAAGATAGAATTATGATTTACCTCCAAGGGGGTTAGAGGGCATTTTCCATTGACACGATTCAGACCAGGTACGATGACACGATCTTTTCTCTTGAACTTCCCCTTCCACCATTTTTCTCGAAATGAATCCATTTCAACTTTTTCAGCCTTTCCCCCATCATATAAACAGCATGAGAAGGCTACCATGTCCTAAAAATTAATACATGATTGTAAGAATAAGCTATGAAAATCTTTACATAACAAATTTTAAACATTAAAGCAATATGGAACTAGAGTAGAGAAGATGGCCTCGATATGCATTCATACCTCCTCAAAACGAAGGTGGATGGACACATACTTTCCACCAGTCTTTGAACTTTTCTCAATCATTCTCTTAAGTAGTTTCTCTGCTAGTGTTGATATGGGGGAAGAGAACCTCAAGGCTCTGTAATTAGCTATGCATCGCAGCAATTGAATATGAGGCGGTACATTCATTGCCAGTCTATTAGCAAATGGGGCAATTCGGATCACCCTGCATTGAGTATAAGCAATAAGAAACAACACAGAAAAAGGTTTCAAAAGGTTTTTTCATTAGGAACTGAGATTTTTAGCCAGTTGGGACATTCATTATTCAAGAATTCGCTTGCTTCAATTCTCAATTAGCCAAAACACTGATTTTCTAAGATAATGAAATTAGGGGAACCATTTGGTTGAGCATGAAGTAAAATTTAACAGCAAATAAAAAATGACAGCACATACCCTTGCTCTTTCAAGACAGGATAAACTTCTCTAATGTAATATTTAGCAGGAGCCCAAGCTTGGACACGAATGTTTGGAATATTAGTAATATTGTCATCATATTTTTCCATCAGGAGATCAGGTAGTTCTCTGACCACCTTAACATAGCCATCAAGGGTGCTTATAAAGTGGTCCTCATCATATATATCTCCAAACTCACTGTAATAGAAGTTACACATTAAGATATCAGTTACTGTACCTAGATAAATATATGTTTTGAAAAATAAATCATATTAAGGTGATACTGGGGGGAACAATATGCCAACTACGAGTTGTACTGATATATATCAACAAATTCTAGTTCCAGATACATAAATATCAGTTTACATGCCTAATAGGACAGAGTTGCCTAACTAAACTAAAGAATAAGAATACTATACTATGAATCACGGATACAAATGATTTGGATAGTGTGGTCCAAAAATAATCTGGTTTTGCTCACATATGACAGCAATCATAGTATCTAAACTTGACCTCCGAACAGGGTCCATCCTTAAGGCTTCAACATAATATAAAAGTTGATATTTATCAAAATTTGGTCGTGACACTAACAACCCAAAAGGATGTATACTGGTCAAGAATAAATTTACAGAAAAAAAAAAAAGTTTAATCCAAACCACATAATGAATGAATCAGAATCTTGTTCTGTCAATTCTACCAAAATTTCCAGAATATCTAAAGGCTGACAATCTTCAAAAAGGGATTGTTTTCTTCATCAGACATTTCCCAGGGGCCAGAGTAGAAGAATAAATTTTACCCCGAAGGTTGAAAAATACCAAAGAGAAAAGGGCATCCATCCATAAGGTTAAGAAACAAGCCATAATCTTTATTTCGTGAGCATTGAAAAATCATCCTTTCAGTGAATATCTGAGATGATATAAGACGTTCATTAGTATAATTACCTTGGGTCCTTCCAAACACTGTTCAACTCAAAACGAGGTATGACAAGTACTGCATTTAAAAGTCCAGCTAAAGCCACTGCATTGCAGATCTGAAAAAACAAAGAAATAAGTTTTGTGCATTAAGGATAAAAGAAAAACTAGTTAATAAAACTAATAATTGATATCAAAAGAAATAACATACCGCAGATCGTTGTTGGTTGAGACCGCCATTAGCCTCAACAATCAAGTAACCGCTTGGGCTGCCGGACTCTAAAATTTAAATGATATATCAGTTTCCACTATTAGTATATCATTTTCTATCCTCAGATTATGCATTAACATGTCGAAGAGTCCTTAGAACAATGATGAAAAACTAATGGCATTTGGAGATGATAATTTAAGAGGAACCTATCTTTATATATTTTAGAAAAATAGAAATTGGAGCAGAATTAAACAAGAAAGCCTGTCTTAGTAAGAATTTACACTAACCTTTTTCTACACCAAAATGCTGTCCAGCTGTTGAATTTAGACAGGGTTTCTGCATCTTCAGTCTCCTGCGTTTCCATACGGAGGACAACTACAAGAAGGAACAGCTCAAAATCTCAGCTGATCACAGCAATATTATTCAATTTTGCACTTATAAATTTCAAATTAAGAAAAAATAAATAAAGGTCAAAACAATGCAGCCCACCAATTCTTTTATTCTAACTTCTAAAGTACTTAAGATCTTGAATTGATAAACAAGAAAATCCATAAAAATTCGACTTGGATGAACTTTTGATCAAATCTCCCTTAACAGAACTAGCTTCAGTGATATGTTACAATACCTAGAAATGTTTTTTGGCAAAATAATAATAATAATAATAATAAGTAAACAATTTCAGTAGCTGAATAAATTCGAACAAGATTTCAATTAATCATGAATTTGGCTTAACGATCTTAAACACCAAAAAGCAACATTAAGAAACAGTTTCCTGTAAAAGGGACAGCAAGCCTTCATTCTTGTGGACTTAAACTAGTAAACTAATTAAACTAAATTAAATTTCTCAATTTCAAGTCTCAAGCCAAACTTAGGTGCTCATTTTTTTTTTTTTTTCTCTATATTTTCTTTTCTCAGCAACAAACAAAAATAAATAAAATAAATAAATAAAAGAGAGAGAAACCGAACATCAATGGCCGAAGAATTATCAAACTGAATATCATCCCAAAGCTTCTCAAAGATCTCGTGACTTCTATAAACCGACCCGGGAACCGGAGGGAATCCAATAAGCTCAGAGAAGGGGCCCACACACATGATCAAGCCCGAAACGTACAACAGAGTGAGCAGCACCAAGTACCGGAAGTTCCACCGGAAAAGAAAACTAACGCCTAAGTTATCACGGAGCGAAAACGAGTTAGTCTTGGTACGGAGTCGCCGACGATAATGCGAGACGGTAGCATGACGGCGCGGTGAGGGAGGGGGACTCGGTGAGTTGCTGCCGCTGTTGCTACTCTCACTAGCGTAGCCACCGGCACCATTTGAGTTCTGGCGACTGAGGTGGTGGTGAGAGTAAGGCTTGGATTTCATGGCGAAGCTTGTGGTTGTGACCATGCAATGGGGAATGTGGAACTGTGTTGTACCTGTTTTGTTTCTTGGAGTGATGGGATCAAGTATTAAAAGCGAAATGTTCGTACTGAACTCGGGAGATTTTTAACGGGAGAGAGAAAGAGCACGATTGAAGGCTTGGCTTGGCTTGGAGCGGGTGAAAGTGGCGTTGCCTTTGGGCATTTGCGCCATGTGATTTTTTTAATTATATTATATGTAATTTCCCGCTTTGGAAGTTGGTGTAAGTGTTAGTAATTCTGTATCAATCTAGTTGAACCACAATCTTTAGCAGGATTTGTAGCAGATTTGATTTGAATAAATCTCATTTAAACTAAATATAGTTCTTCAAGATCCAATTTGAAAAGATTTGATTAGTATATAAATATAATCGAATATTAAAATTATCTATATGACAATTTATTAAACACACGTTAAAATCATGAGAGATTTAATTTAGCGGTTAAAGAGGTTTGTTTTCTTTTTTTGAGTTTTTGAATTTAAATTTTATGATCACTTATCATAATAACATTATAACTTATTTAATATTTTATGTTTATAATTGTAAAGTGTCTAATAAACCTTAAAAATTAATTAAGATACATATAAATTCATACAAATATGTGGTTATAAAAAAAAAAAAAAAAAATCAATTGAGTTACAATCAAATTAACTCAAACACCGACAGTTTAAAAAAATAACTAAATAAATAAACACACATCAAATCTAATAAATGACATATGATTAATTCAAAACGTGACTGCAGGAAATACAAATTACATGTGTTTATTGTTTTGTATTTTGATAAGAAGGAATGGATCTATAAAAAAGGTAAAAGGTAATTCCCACATTGACTAATTATTTGAAAACAATCCAATCAACAGCGAGAATGCAGAACTGATAATTACAATTCCTCAGTTAGTTTGTGCTCCACCAATTATAAACAAGTTGTTGGCTGCACCTGATTGGCTCATTCCACCATGGTCCCGTCCAAAAAAGTTAAAAGTGCTTCAACATCCCGGGCTAACCCGACCTACAGCCTACAGGCGCTTCGCTTGCTCTCGGTCTCGGAGCCAAGCCGATAATCTAAGATTTGTTATGGCATACTTAGCACTTAAACACAAAAGTAATTGCTAAAACGGCGCGTAATTAATAAAACTAAGTTCCCGGTAGCCAGAGGGGCAAAGACCACCAACAGCCCGTCAAAGCGTCAGCAAGTACGTCTCCTCGAGCTCTACTGTTTCACTAATACTAACAAACAATTTTTATGAACTTTTTTTTCCGGACTATTACACCCTGCACAGACCACGCATTACGACGGGTTGACCACTACATTTTCAGTGACTTAACACCCTCCAATACACTTCATAATCCACTTTTGGAATCTTCTCAATTTTCCAAGTTGGCATTTGGCATAGTGGAACGTCTTTATTTCACTTTATTTTTTTCAAACTAATTTATTATTATTTTTTTAATTTCTTTGTGCCACGTTGAACGGTGCAACATTAATTTCTTGCTTTAATAATGAGGCCATTTCTTTTCATCACATAAATTGTTTGATATAAGGTGAGTGGGTGAACACTTTAATGTGTGTTTGGTGTATGGAACCTTTAGTTATGAGTTTACCAAACCAAAGTTTTCATATAGATTTAGGGACATCAGCTATTTTACTATTATTTTCATTATTATTATTTATTATCGTCATTGCTTCAGCAAGTATAAGTAAATTTAATAGAACGAACATGTTGTCTCATTGTACCAAGATACCATAATAATCAAATAATGACAAGTACATGTTTATTTTTAGGGTTCATTTATTATGATAATGATATTGATACCATATCATTGAAATTCTTTTAGTTTTTTTTTTAAATAAAATCGAGTACTACCAAAATATAATTGTAGTGTTTACCAAATCAAAATTGAGAACCTAAACTCCAATTAAATGTTGTATTATTTCCGTTAAGTAACTAATTATANACAAAATCTAATAAATGACATATGATTAATTCAAAAGGTAACTGCAGGAAATACAAATTACATGTGTTTGTTGTTTTGTATTTTGATAAGAAGGAATGGATCGATAAAAAAAGGTAAAAGGCAATTCCCACATTGACTAATTATTTGAAAACAATCCAATCAACAGCGAGAATGCAGAACTGATAATTACAATTCCTCAGTTAGTTTTGTGCTCCACCAATTATAAACAAGTTGTTGGCTGCACCTGCTTCGCTCATTCCACCATGGTCCCGTCCAAAAAAGTTAAAAGTGCTTCAACATCCCGGGCTAACCCGACCTACAGCCTACAGGCGCTTCGCTTGCTCTCGGTCTCGGAGCCAAGCCGATAATCTAAGATTTGTTATGGCATACTTAGCACTTAAACACAAAAGTAATTGCTAAAACGGCGCGTAATTAATAAAACTAAGTTCCCGGTAGCCAGAGGGGCAAAGACCACCAACAGCCCGTCAAAGCGTCAGCAAGTACGTCTCCTCGAGCTCTACTGTTTCACTAATACTAACAAACAATTTTTATGAACTTTTTTTTCCGGACTATTACACCCTGCACAGACCACGCATTACGACGGGTTGACCACTACATTTTCAGTGACTTAACACCCTCCAATACACTTCATAATCCACTTTTGGAATCTTCTCAATTTTCCAAGTTGGCATTTGGCATAGTGGAACGTCTTTATTTCACTTTATTTTTTTCAAACTAATTTATTATTATTTTTTTAATTTCTTTGTGCCACGTTGAACGGTGCAACATTAATTTCTTGCTTTAATAATGAGGCCATTTCTTTTCATCACATAAATTGTTTGATATAAGGTGAGTGGGTGAACACTTTAATGTGTGTTTGGTGTATGGAACCTTTAGTTATGAGTTTACCAAACCAAAGTTTTCATATAGATTTAGGGACATTAGCTATTTTACTATTATTTTCATTATTATTATTTATTATCGTCATTGCTTCAGCAAGTATAAGTAAGTTTAATGGAACGAACATGTTGTCCCATTGTACCAAGATACCATAATAATCAAATAATGACAAGTACGTGTTTATTTTTAGATATCATTTATTATGATAATGATATTAATACCATATCATTGAAATTCTTTTAGTTTTTTTTTTAAATAAAATGGAGTACTACCAAAATATAATTGTAGTGTTTACCAAATCAAAATTGAGAACCTAAACTCCAATTAAATGTTGTATTATTTCCGTTAAGTAACTAATTATATGAAGAGTAAAAGGACTTTTTCTCATCTAGGGTTTGTCTTAATAACCCAAAGAGTTTCAAAATACAATTTTCTCACACAAAGTTTATATTCCGTTAATACCTAAAATACACTTCATTTTATCAGTCAGCATTCGATGAGTTATTAGGAGTCAGGGTAAGAAATGTTTTATACAATAAAGACCGATGGATCAAATATGGTGACTAATTGAATATTCGCCACCAGAAATTAATTAAAAACAGGAAACCTTATCTTTATGGTGGCCGACAATCAGAAAAAAATTAGGTGTCGAAGTGAGAGAGATTTTGTAGAGAAAAGACTGGAGGTTCAAATAGTGGTGACAGGGAGAATTTTCGCCGCTATAATCGACTTTAGATATTAACATAATATAAACTTTAGGTAAAAAAATAGTATTTTAAATTTTTTTTTTTTTTTTGTTGGAAAGTGTCATTAAGGCAAACCTTGGGTAGGACAATGTCGTTTACTCTTATTAGAATCATGAAAAGTAATTAGTTGTTTGCTCGATCGAAAAGTATTTTAAAATAATAACTAAATGGGCAACTCGTGCACTATATAATATTCAACCGTATGTATCACGATCTAACTGATTGTATTATTGTAGATAGATGGCATTGCAGTTTTTAGAATACAATGCAACCGCTTCATCGATATAGTAACCAGATCCACCAAATCCAGCTAATCCAGTACTCTACAAAAATAAAATTTTTGGGTAGCGCAAACTAATTTCCATTTATGGCAAGGGGCACGTGGTTTTCATATGATAAATATCTGGAAATTTAGGTCCACATGGATTGATTTTCTTTATATTAATAAGGCAACTAAAAGAGTGTATTCAATCCATGCACATGGCCTACTGTCAGCACAGGTGGTAGTAGTACCCTATTGCTTTTAATTTATAGTGAATTCATGTACAAAATATCCACAAGGACCACAACCTATACGAGTCAAGTTGTATAATTTTATAAAAGTAAACGATTTTTTCCACCCAAGATTTGCCTTATTGATACTTTTACATCCAAAAAGTTTCAAAATATCACTTTTTCATCCAAAGTTTATATTCGGTTAATGTCCAAGATACATTTACTTTCTCAGTTGACGTTTGACGAGTTATCAAGAGTCAGGATAAGAGAGGTTTTGTAGAATGGAAACCGGTGGATCGAATGGTAGTTGTCAATTGAATATTCGCCATCGGAATTAAACAAAAATCAGCTAAGAATAGAAAATTTTAACTTAGTAGTGGCTGACAGTTGACAAGAAATTAGGTGTCAGAGTGAGAGAGGTTTTGTAGAGAGGGGATTAAAAGTTCAAATGGTGATGACGGAGAGAATTTTCGCCGTCGAAATCAACATTGGATAGTAATGAAACATTAACTTAAGGTAAAAAATTGGTACTTTGAAACCTTTTGAATGGAAAAGTGTCATTAAGGCAAACCTTGCGAAGGAAAAATTGTTTACTCTTTCTATAAAGTAATATCAAGATAATTAATTATTTAATTACTAATAATGAGTTATTCTTCTATAGTTTTCGAAAAGGGTGATTTAATATGATTGATTTTTCTCTTAATAATATTTTATTTATAGATTCGAATATGAGAAAATATAAATCAATTTGATTGAACACTTTTGGTTATTTTTCAAAGAAAAAGGTTAATTTCAAAAACTTTTTCTATCACTTCTTAATTAAACTCAAAAGATTCAAGTCCTAATCCTCTCAAGTCCAACTCAAAGTCACATGTATATCCTATTCCAAATCACTCTCGCTGTCTCCCAATCTCACATAGTCCAATCGGCTTAACGCAATGAACAATTCAATATTCAAGTAAAAACACAAAAGAGGCCCTTGATAGCTAACCAGCTGGGTACCATCACGTGGTGGGAGCCTGCGGATTTTTGTGAAGCCGAAAATGGACATAAAAAGCGGGGCCTGAAGTCTCTCCGAGAGATACGGCTCTCTACCAACTTTCTCAGGATCGCGCGTTCAATTCCCGGATATTGATTATCAGTTGAATTTACGAAATAAACCCGCTATTAAGGAATGTTGTTTGAATCTCGGAGGGCGTTTTCGATAAATTACTTCCAACAACATAAATGATTAGCTTTTAATTTCACTTATATGGTCAAATCAAAGGACTAGCTTAGTTGTAATAACGTGCACACTACTAAAGAGAATATAAAAGCAATATCCAAAGAAAATAAAAAAAGAGTCAAGAATTTAATCTATGTTGCAATGTGCAAGGAAAGAGTCGCATTTCCTTTCTTCCTTTTGTGGGCGCAATCCAAAATCATATGTATTTTTATTCAGGTGAAAGTCTTCTATTCTAACTACATTCTTTACCTGGTTAAAAAAAAGACGAATGGCCTGCTTCGGATAATTGGACACCTTCTTCAATTTTGGAAATTTTGAACATATCCCCGTTTGAGAAACATCTTACATTAATAATTGAAAAAATACGATAATATGTGGTTCTTATTTCTTAAGCTGAAAGTTGTGTGAATTGAAAACTGAATGGGGCCATGTTCATATTTTGGCTTTTTAAAAAGAGACAGCGAATACGGTGAGAAATTGTCACAAAATTCAATACTCAAATCTCACTGCCATTTAGGTGGACAGTGTTATAAATGCACACGTCCCCCTACTTATTTTGGCCTCCTAAACGAACCAACCGCATAAATGCGTTCCCCATTTGTGGACCTGCACGTCATTAGAGCATTCACACGTCACACCCCAACTTTGAAAATTAAGTTTTAAGTTTGTACGGTGTGTTTTTGATGCTTGTATTTGTGCGTGGCAAAGTTTCAAACAACTTTGGCAGCCAACGATAATGTTGGTTGGCTATTTGACGAGTAGGCCCAATTAAAAGATGGTTCTATTCTTCTGATTCAAAGTATCATATATGATATAAGTAAAACCAAAACAAAACCCCTGAATCATGATGGGTTGAAAATTTCTCACCTCTTACTAATGTACAGCGAACAAACCATATGCCGACATAGAATATTTTGGACATGACATTAGATTTAACGGACACTGTCATTTTGTTTGTTTTTTGGCCATAGGCACCAGTGCAGGGAGTCAACAAAATATCAGTGCCAGACTGCCTAAGCCTTTTATGCCCAGCCCATGTCTTCAGCCCAAAATAGTATAACATATGACGTCCTATGGGCCTATGTAACGCTTATTTATTTTTCTGTCTTTTAAAATTTATATATTCATACATCATAGTTTCTGTACCACTCGTACAAAATATATAGAATACTACATCCATTACAGAAACTTTCATATCACAATGTCTATGTTATAAAAGGAGTATGATGCACAGAAAGACTTCACTATGCTCCCAACATGATAAAAAGAGTATACAAACTCAAGAAAACAGATTTAAATCAACCAAAGGAGATGGACTAGTCTCTTTACTCCAATGATCCCACAGATTCCTCCATCCTATAAGCTCCAACCCGATCACGGGGAATCAATCGTAGCTCAGAACCATGTTTGAGGAAGACATTGCCTGAGAAAACCAATGAATTTTATATTCAACTAAAATTACCTGGAGCGAATACATCAAAATGGCTACACAAAACAGAAATCTGTTCAAGTCCTTTAAAGTAATGGTAAACAACTTATTGAGTTCATATATTACACCATTAGTTTTAACCAAGTGAAGACTTCTGAAAAAAAGAACCCCTACAACTACGAGTATTATCCATTTCTTAAAATACATTACAGTCTCTAACTAACTCCAGCAGATACAATAGTCTGCTTCTCCCAAATTCATCCAAAGCCCCCACACTATTATATAATATATACGTCTTACTGTGGAGTTCTTGAAGGAAATACAAATTTTAAATCCAGATACCCAATTAAAAGCATCTACTTCATACTTATTTCAAGTGTGAAATATGGTAAAGAGTATGAGCAATTGTTGGTGATTCATTACCCTAAAAAGCACTCAAAGCGTGCATCATTGTCTTAAAAATTCAATAATTTTACTTTCAAATTTTAAAATGATACCATTTAAATTCTTAAAGATTTCTTATCTGTAAGGGGCAGGGGTGAGTGGGAGGAGAAGATTACATATGATAAGCGGCTGAATAGTGAATACTTCAACAAGAAACAAAAGATGGAAGAACAGTAAATAAACTGAAAGTGCCGAACAGTGCATAAAGAGCACCAACATACCTGCACTTTGCTGAGGATTGATTCCTACACCATCTGCATATGATAAACAATAAACTCCAAGTCAATGATCTCACCTCACAAAATGTGACTAGATGTACAGTTCTGGAAGACAAAAAACTTCATATGGCTTCAAACTGAAAATCCATAAGCATTTATAAAAATACATTATATTTTTTAATTCCTTTCTAGTGTAACTGTCATAATTGTGTATTTGTGTAAATATTATTGGTTAACTTATTACCTCTTTTTTCAGAATATAGGTCAAGAGTGGATAGAACATGACAATGTGTCAAGTATTACTTAAAATCAACACATACTCAAATACATGATTGAACGAGGTTACACACGGATCCAAACAAAGGATCAAATTGCTCTCTGCTATCATATGAATGGTACAGTACATGCATTTTCAGCATTGGAACACAAGATTCAAAAAAAAAAAAATAGGCTCTGATAGACACCATGCTCATAGATATTACTACTTCCAAATGCTTGAGCCAATAAGAAAGAGCCAATCATCTTGAAAAAGTTAACCTTATTTTCGTAATTATATTCGCTATAACTTCCTGTCAGTCTCCAAATGAAGTCAATTGAGTGCTATGTTAACTAAATTTGTTCCCAATGATGGTGATCCAGAAATTTCAAAAATTAGTGTACACCAAATTCTTAACAAAATTTGAGTAGATAATGGAAGCCTCAGGAATACAAATGATGTGCTGAGCTAAGTGATAAATCCACATGTTACTCATTCATGGTCAAAGAACATTAATAAAACCGTTTTAACATGAACTTGTACGCATGCTCAGGCAACTCTAACACCTCACAATGAGAAGGCCAATATATGTGGGAGCTATCGAAGGTCGGCGACCTGAAAATAGGTTTCAATATATATACGCACACTAAAATGTTTACAAAAATTTCTTTTTCAGGCTTAAAAATAATGAAAAGAAAAAAAAAAAACTTTTGAGATTTGAAATAGTTTGTATCATTGAATCAAAAAACTGATTTAATAATTTGCAACACAACTGCAATTGTGATTTTTTTGTAGGGTCGTATTTAGCAAATTCAGAATAATTTTCTCATATAATTCAATTCTAGTCAAAACATTCAGACTTAAGCCAATAATCATTAAATCAAAAACCTACACAACTCCCAGAAAAGAAATCAAACAATTATGAAAAAATTATTAACAACATGCAATCGCGATATCACCCGTTACCAAAAAATAAAAGTAAACAATAACACGAAAGAACATAATTACCGTTGGTGATAATAGCGCTGGTTTGTGGAGGGACCTTGAATTCCTCGGCTGCGAATTTCAGAACGGCGGTGAAGGGAGCAGCTTCAGGAACGCTAAACCTGCGATTTAATAGAATAATTAAGATTAGAGATAATTCAACAAATCAAAATAAAATAAAATAGGGATTCACGTACACTTTGAATGGGAGCTTCGGATCGGAGGTCAGCGTAACCTTGAATGAAACTTTTCCACCGCTGGCCATTATTATTAATATTATTTAATTGAAGTTAATTTTGGGATTGTTATTAGCTTTGTATGAGCTATGGGGGGAGATATTGAATATTAGTTTTATATATCGTGTATTTTTCCTGGGTTTAGCGTATCTACTATCTACAACGCAACTAATTAGCAAAATATAAAAAATAAAAAAAAATACGGCGAAGTTATTTGGGCCGTGTTCAAGTATGGTCCATTTAGGATTAAGCCCATGCTTTTATTATAAAAAATTACGAACGTCACAGAAAATTAAGTAAATTTGTAAGATTCAAGTGTATATTTTTTTGGAATAAGGGAAATATATAAACACTCCCTAATACAGTATAAAAAAGATTATAAGTAGATAATGATTTTAATTAAAAATAATACTTATGGGTCAATCAACTCTCAATTCTTTTGTCCGTCTCCAATAGTTTTAATTTTTATTATAATAAAATAATATGATGATAAATAGAACTATATTGTTGGATAATGTAAATATTTTTTTAATTTTACTTTTGAGTAAATGACTTTTTCTCACCCAAAGTTTATATTTTGTTAATACCCAAAATCGATTTCGGCAGCGAAAATTTTCTTTGACACCACCATTTGAACCTCTGGATTACTTTCTATTAAATCTCTCTCAGTACTACACTTGATTTCTAACCGATTTCCAGCCATTGCAAAGATAGGGTTTCTTGTTCTTAGTTGATTTCTGACTGATTTTGACAGTGAATATCTAATCGATCATCACCATTCGATCTACCGGCCTCCACTATACAAAACCTCTCTTACCCTGGCTCCTAGTAACTTATCAAACGTCGGCTGAGAAAGTGAAGTGTATTTTGAGTATTAACGGAATATAAACTTTGGGTGAAAAAGTGGTATTTTGAAACTTTTTGGATGGGAAAGTGTTATTAAGGCAAACCTTGGGTGGCAAAAAGTCGTTTGCTCTTATACTTTTCCTTAAAATAATGTATTAAGATACAATAGATAGATTACCATAAATATGCAGTGTATTATAGATTGATTTTCCATATAACAATTAATTTATAATACAATTAAATATTTGAATTAGTTAATGTAAAAGAGTTGGATGAGAGGTTAGAATTAATATTATAAATCTGTTGAATAAAAATGAATTAAAAAAAAACGTTGATCCATTTTTGTCAATCTGTAACTTATAAATCAACAGCATGATAAATAAATGGAATTGTTGTACTGTTTTTTTTTTTTTTTAATGAATAAAAGAAAATTAACAAATTCATATTTACAACAAATTAATTCTTAAGAAATAATCCACAAGGTAACCATTAATACAATTGTAAGCATCACATGCCAACGTCTACCAATCACAGATTTGAAGCCATTGGCATTTGATTCACTGCACACCAGCTTGTTGTTATGATACGTGCACACTGGTTGCTTCCTGATCAAATCAAACGGTTCATTTAGAATCTAACTTATATAATTAAACAAAGAGCTCATGCAAACTGATAAATCAAAAAATTTACAGACCTGGAAGTGCAAAACGTGATAACATAATCAGTTCCTGAGCAAGTGAAAATACTAGTCGGATCATCATAAGCATAACTATACGCAGTCGGGCAGGCTTCTTTAAACTTTTTGGAATAGTAAGTCGGTTGACAAATTCTAGGATTTCCATAAACTCCTCTGCAACAATACTCATCTGTATTGAACACATCGCAAGCACTTCGGCAACCCACAACTTTACCATTGGATTTCATCGCAAGCTCGGAGGGGCAAGTGGTCCTCAAGTCCCCATCGCAACCAGCAACGCTGCAATTTCCCTTTCCGTTTATTGGGGTGACAGACATGGGCAAGTTGAAGCCATCAACGAGGCTAACATCGTAAAAATCTAACTGTGCAAGGGTAAACTCTGCCAGTGTTGCTGGAGTTGCACCTGAGGCTTTACATTCGAGGGATGTGCCGCAGGCCCCTGTCTGGCATGTTCCATTGCCATTTTTGTTAAATTTGCAACCTGATCGACCCCATATTCGCCCACTCCACCCCACTGGCGCATTAAAAACAATTGATTGGCCTGGCTTTAAAGCAAATCCTCCGCCATGGAAATTCTCACCTGGGGTGACTGCAGGCCAGATCATTTCTTTACAATCGTTTATGATCGTGAAAACTCTTGCACACTCGGCCTGTCTTCCCCCTGCAAACAATAATCCAAGAAACTGGAAACAATTAAGATTACATATTATCATGTGATTAACGTAAAAGTTATATTTAGATATTACCTGATGAAACTATAATTAGAATGAAAAGAAGTGGTGGTAAAAGAAAATCAACATGTATTGCCATTTCTTTGTGTAAACGTTTCTCAAGTCTTTTGAGATGTGGGGTAGGAAAAATAGATGGAAAAGTAAGCATATAAAGGAGTAAAGAAGAATACGTGTGGAAGGAGAGAGTGTAAAAACGAAAGCATGCATTAACCAATTCTGGACTGGAGCGCTTTTTTGATTCTTTTCCTAATCCTTTCATGCAAGTTTGTTCAGGTTCCGTTACCTTTTTTGGCCGTTTAGCCACTTATTTTCAAATGTCACGATGGACCGACCAAATCTATTTTATTTTATTTATAACCCAGGTCTCAGTTCTAACTTATGACTCAAGTAAGATATATGAATGTTTTAAACCTTAGAGATTATACAGGTGTATTTATAGAACTTAAGTCTTTAATTAGAAAAAAATAAATAAATAAATAAATAAATCTCTGATGGAATTAGAGAACAATAAAAGTAAATCTTTGTGAGTTCTATCTAAGCCAAAGAAATTAATTTTTAACCCCAAAAGGTTGGTCTGACGATTAAAAAGATTTGTTCCCTTTATTGACTTCTTGTGTTCGAACCTTGGGATCATTTGCCACATTGTGACTTACTTTGGACCATTAGGCTTATAGTCATAGGTTGTTTAATAGATCTAAAAAATTAGTTAAGATATATACCAGCTGACCGAACATCCCAAGCATTAAAAAAAGAGAACAAATAAAAGAAAATTACCTTATATTAACCTTCTTAAAGTATAGCGAGGGGTCATTAGCCTCCACATCAATGGGCCAATGGAGGCCAAAATTTTGACGCTGCCCTATCCCCTATGTCAATGACCCAAAAAAGGAAAAATCTGCTAAAAGCAGCGTAATGCCAGCTTATGGAGATGTACTTTATCAATTGAATTCAATGATTTTTCACGAACGGACATATGAACAAAAACAATGCATTTGAACAAGAAATAATGTGAGTCGCTTTCTAATCTTTAATCGAAGAAAATGGAGAGAGCAACTTTCTATCTCATCTCGGCTTAAATGATATATAAGGAGCTAAAGGATAGTGATCTATTCCTTTTCCAAGCATGAACAACAAGTGTATCATGCCAAAAAAGAAATAATTTCCATGAATGACCTTCTCGTAATTTTAACGATGTTGAAGTTATTTATAGAAATCTTATATTTACACGAAACTTAATTTCTTATTCATCATACACCTTATCTCATTTTTTTTTTTTTCCATGCATAAATACAAATTAAATCGATTCATGTAAAGATTAATACGATAATATATCCAATATTCAAATGCCGTGGTGATGATGATGATAAATATAGGGCCAAATAACAAGTACATAGAAGAAAACAAGTCAAAAGTGATGGAGTCGAATTTTGAAGTATCATTATCAGTTTGATCTTTAAGTGGGTGGGGTTTGGTGAGTTTGGTACCCCGGCTTTTTCTTTCTTTCTTTTATCCCCACAAAAAGAATGGTCTAATTGTTCACTTAGTTGAAAATTGCACATGAAAGGTTTTAGGCTTCGGCTTTTTGGACCTACCCTACCCATATAGAGGAGATGTAACAATCACTTCATCAATTATTAATGTATTTTCATTTTTTGCATTCACATTCCCATTCATTCATATCTCATTCCATTTTTTTTTTTTTTTTTGCTCATAATTGTTTTGTAGTTATCTATAATATAAAAGAAAATTAAATTCTTTAAAGCTGACGTTAATTTAACTTCCAATTAGATAGCATTTGATATAATTTTTTTTTAAAAATAATTCTATAATTTAAATAGAAATAGAAAACTTGTAAAACAGAAAATAACTTTTAAAATAGAGTTAACGACTCTTTCCCACACAAATAACGGCTTAATGACATTTTCTCACCTATATACTTTTAAAATACTACTTTATTACCAAAATTTACATTTCAACGGTGAACAGAGAGTAAACTCGGTCTAGGCTGGTGGAGCTTTTGAAAATGAGAGGTCAATGAGTCTTTTGGTGGTGGAAGGTTGATTTTGGTGGTTGGGATTGATAAAAATTTGACTTTGAAAATGTGGCTGCGCAAACCCTAATTGTTTGATTGCCAATGATTGATAGGATTGACGGGAGTAGAGTTTGAGGGGTTTTGGTGTGTAATGATCAGGAAAGAGAATAGTGGTGGTGTGGAGTCGCAACAATACTGGAATCAAAATATAAATTTAGGTAATAAAAATGTATTTTAAAGGTCCATGGGTGGGTGAGAAATTGTCATTAAACCATTATTTGGGTGAGAAAAAGTCGTTTACTCTTTAAAATATTACAAAATATGTAATGGTGAAAAGCAATTGATTAATCTAAATTTTAGAATCAATTAGGGAATGATATATATAGATGGTGTCATGGGAAGAAGACTTATGTGTTGTAATTGAGAACCTTGTTTGGTTAAAGGCAACCAAAATTTAAGATAACCATCATTTGCAAGCTGTCTAATTATCCCTTGCCTATCTCCTCTTTAAGGTGTAAATGAATATTCTAACTATAAAGTTTACACTAACTTTTAATTTTACTAATTAATCCAATGACCTCTCGTAAACTGAAGGGCTTCTTTCTTGAGATATAAAATATATGATCAAGGGTGTAGTTTTTTCACAAGTTATAAGGTAAACATTTATGATTGGTCATCATTTCTTCTAAGATGCGACTTTGTTAAATCCTTTGCCTTCAATTCTTTGCTTATATTGATTCCTTTCTTATCAATGTTTTTATGTTTGTTTAATAATCTTTAATTATAATAAATGAAAATGCTTGTTCAGATTAAAGGAAAATTGGAAAAAGTACAATGGAACACACCTTATTAACAAGTTATCAGATTCCAAGTGTGGAATTCATGGATAAGCTCGAGTTAAACTTCAAAACAGGGTCAGAAATTGTGAAGCACGCACTAGCTAGTCTATTTTTGATAAAGTTTAAAGTGTTACCCACTCAAATAATGGTTTAATAACACTTTCTCATTCACATACTTTTAAAATACCACTTTATTATCTAAATTTATATTTTGATGATAAATAAAGAGTAAAGTCAGTCTAAACTAATAGGGCTTTTGAGGAGGGGAGATTGATGAGTTTGAGATTGATCAGAATTTGACGTGGGAGAGATGATTGTGTAAACCCTAATTGCTCAATTGCCAACGATTATCGGGGTTAACAAAAGTAGGGTTTGAGAAATTTTGGTGAATGATGATCGGAGAGGATAATAATGGTGTGGGGTCATAATAATGTTATAATTGAAAATATAATATAAATTTAGATAATAAAATGATATTTTAAAAGAATGTAGATTGGAAAGTGTTATTAAGCCATTATTTATTTGGGTGGGAAAATGTCTACTGAAATTTAAAAAAGGAAAAAGACAGAAAAAACCTGGGGATAAAGCTCGTTATAGGGATTGGTGGGCTAATTGGGCAGGTCTAGACCATCTTAGTTTCACTTTTCAAGTTGATATGCAAGGCCCAAATCCCTAATCAATCAAACATTTTGTTTTCAAATTAAACCGACAATCACCTCTTGATCGATTTAGCCATAAAGTATCTGAACAATTGTCTCGTTTCATTTGTAATATAGTTGGGAATCAACTAAATCTGAATTAATATAAACTCCAATCGAATAAGGGAGAAATTGACCAAAAAAATTCATAAAGTCAAGCTTGAACAACTTGTCATCTAGGGATTTTGGCTATTTGGTAGCCCCTTTTGAACATGATTTCCACCAAAAACTTGCCCATCAAAAGGAACCCATTGTATACTTAATTGAATCATGTCACCAGCCCTCCAATGCCATGATTGGTGGTGATACATAAACCAAATAAAGTTGTTTAATAATCATAAGAAGAGAAAAAGGGCTCCTCAATTTCTCTCATTTCTTTAATTACCCTTAAATAAAGATTTACAAATTTTTTTTTTTTAAAAAAAAAAAAAAGCTTTTGTAAAAGCCAGTTGGCACACGTGTGCTACTAATCATGTTTAGCACCAAGCCCACCTCAAAGCAATCATTCTCACCGTATTACACTCCCCCACATTCGAGAAAAAAAAAAAAAAACCTCTTCTTCTTCTTCTTCTTCTTTTTTTTTCTTTAAATTATCTTTTTTAGTAAAATAAAATAATTTTTTTGCAATTTATTTTTATATAAAATTTAAATCAAGGTTCATGATGGATTGTACAATATTTACTACATAAAGAGCCGAAGGTGGGCCACCCCGCTCGTGCGTTCATGAGAGTATGGGCCCATAATACTCCTGTCAAGCCCAAGAAAACCCAAAAACAGCAGTGAAATGCGAATGTCACCCTTCGGTGACACAGAAATATCACCAACAAATGAAGCTCAAGGAAGACGGCAGACCCACCAAGAAAAAAGAACGCGATTTCGTAAAATCTATGTCTAATGTAACCAGTATCCTATCACATTCATTAAGGGCAGGTCCACACCAAGGGTGACTCAATTATTGCTCATAACTTATTAAAAAGAACATAACAGCAAGAAAGAAACGAAGCACTTTTCTTTCTTTTATTTTATCTATTTATACACTCTCAAATTCCTTCACTGCTCTCTCAATTCTCAAACAATTAACTTCTTTTCTGAAGGCTATAACAATGGCTTCAGAGAAGGTTGAGACTGTTATAGCGGGGAACTACTTTGAAATGGAGAGGGAAGGAGAAGATTCCAAGGCTACTAAGAGCAAGTTTTCAAGCTTTTTTTGGCATGGTGGCTCAGCATATGATGCATGGTTTAGCTGTGCTTCTAACCAGGCACTTTGTTCTAGATGACTCTTTTCTTTTGTATTTTAGTGGGTTAGTATTAGAAATTAATGCATGGAAACTTATTTTTGTTGGGTGTTTTTGCAGGTTGCACAAGTGTTACTGACACTGCCGTATTCATTCTCACAACTTGGGATGGTATCCGGGATTCTTTTTCAGCTATTTTATGGACTGATGGGAAGCTGGACTGCATATCTTATAAGTATACTTTATGTTGAGTACAGAACTAGAAAGGAGAGAGAAAAGGTTGATTTCAGGAATCATGTAATTCAGGTAATGCCTTTTCATGGAGATGTATATATAT